CCATTTATCAGTTAAAAGGATGTAAATGCATTTATCAGTTCTACACCTGTCAATTATTGTTCCTAAAGGCAAGTAACAGGTTTCAGGTCATTTCAACAACATCAAACAACAGAAACTCATGCTCYGGAAAAATYGATTTTACCTGGAGGAACATTATCAGGGCCTCCAYTCTGGAAGAACTTGGTGTGGTGGTTCTTCTGAGCAACGATCACTATAAACTTAGGGTCCCATTTCGAGTCAAGAAACTTGCATGCCTAAAATAATGTAACAAAATATCAGGTCAATAGGTGTCACACATACTAAASAAACCACCGAGAGCTTTAGAACAATAATCCATACCTCCTTCATCTGATCCAACTCAATATTGAGAACTTGATTGAACTGAGACTCACTCACACCATCCCTACATGCATATTAATAACAGTGAGATTCACTCAAACTATATAATACTACTTTTACATGGTACCTTAATAGATTCAAGTATTACCTGAAAACGATGATGTGATCTGGTTTTCTCTTCACTGAACTTGAGTAAAAGTCGACCAAAAGCTCCCTGTAAAAAGCACGAAATCTCTAATTACACTGATGCTAAATGATACCTTCTCATAGAAGTAGAAAATTCTTTTCTGCGATTCACATGGCCCTAAAATAAGGGATTAAGATGACAAATCTCTGTCATGTAGGGAAGTTTACCTGAACATTCCTTCATCTTTGTCAGAAGAGACGGGTTTAAAGAGATTATCAATCATTTCCACTTTGCGTGATTGTGTACGCACACACGCCCTATATTTTGAGATAAGTGGCCATGCCTAAAGCTTACAACCTGTACCAGACACGAGAATTAGACTTGGCCTCTCAATAACGCACATCCCCACCCCCACCATAGTTGCTCATTTGTAGACATCATAAGATAAAGGTAAAAAACAAATCAATGTTACCGCAGCAATTGATGGTATATCAGAGTGGCCCGGGGAACCATGGGATACATCCATCCCAACAATGATSGAAGGAACTTGTGTTACTAAAGGRATTGCTGGTGAGCGCTCCATAGCTAGTAAAGAATTCAATCCACCAAGCTACAGATACACAATAAAATTCAGATCAGCTGTAACGTCTTTACAATTCAGTTTCGAAATTCTAATGAAGTTTTAGTTTTCAGATATAACCTTGGCATTTATCTTTAGGAGAACATTGGTGAGATACTGATCATTAACCCTTGTGGGAGAATAATCGAACACTGATTTCAACTTCCTCAATTTCCCCCTTTCCATTTGGCTTCCTCCAGGTCCTAAATCAAGTAAAGAGAGGTCTCAAGAGTCATTGAGACAATGTTTAGATACACACAAAGAGACTTATCAAGAGATCTTTTTATACTTTACCTTCTTGAACTCGGGTCCCAATTCAATTGATGGGTTCGAGGGATTAGTTCTAGCTTTGTTTCGGGTGACAAAGCCATCAACTAGAGTGTAGAGATCAGACTGTGGAAGAAAGACC